TTTTTTGGTTTTGCGTTTGGCCGAACGTCCGAACGCGTCGAGAGGGGGTCCCAAACATTCAGGCGTTCGGGACGGGCCGAACGCCCGAACGTACGGGACCCCTTCGGAAGGCGTTCGGCCGTTCGGGCCGAACGCGAAGGAAAAAAAAAAAAAAAAAATTAAAACATTCCGAAACAAAAGTGTGATATGGAGAAAAATAAACTACACAACATTTGCCCAGGCGCTACATCCAAACTCTTTACCAAATTTGAATTAAAAATCAAATACAAAAAATAAACACTATGATAAAAATAAAAAAAAATAAAAAGAGAATTAAAATGAGTGAGTATGCCAACACCTTTTCGACAACGCCATCTTTGCCGATTTTTAATTATTTTTTGGAATTGACAAATGCCCTGAAAATTTACAGATATGTAGTTTATATAATCAATAACTCATTAAAAATTAAAAAAAAAACAATAAAAATTTTAAAGCCCCGAAATCAAGTGAAAAAAAAAAGTTGAAAGTGAAAAAAAACAAAATAGTGAGTGGGCGACCACGTTTTGACACCCCCATCTTTGACCATTTGTAATGTTCTTTTGGCTTAGCAGAATGACTTCAAATTTTATAGGCCTGTAGGCTACATCATAGAAAACTCACACAAAACAATTCAGAAAAAAATACCTTTTTTTAGGCCCCAAAACAATTTTTGGCGGGGGCCAAACCTGGAGGTGTTCGGCGAACGGTGTAGTGGCGACCGTGCCGGCGGCACAGGCTGCAGCACCTACTGTTGCTCTTAGTAAAGAGTTGGAAGAATCCTTTGAAGCCATGGTGACGTTTTTCAAGCTATCATTGGAAGAGGAGAACAAGGTCGAAACGGCTAAAAAGGAGGAGGAAGATCGGAAGAAAGAAGAGGAGACGTGGCGAAAGAAACTTGAGATGAAGAAAATTGAGAAGGAAGATGCGAAGCGCATTGAACTAGAGAAGAAGCAAGACAAAGCAAAGAAAGAGGCGGATAGACTGTGGGACATCCGAAAGATGTTCAGGGAGCAACGACTATTCTTACGTAAGGAAGTTAAGAAGGCGTTTAATGAGGAAATCACGGGCATAGTTAAAAGCGGAGGGAAGATACTCACCGGGGATGACGATGAATGGGAGGAATGGCCAGAGGAAGAGGAGGAGGAACACGAAGCGGAGGAGGAAGAACATATGAATCGAAGAAGGAAACGCGTCCCGGCCCAACAAGGTGGTGCTTAGTCTAGTCCTCCGGTGGAGACACCTCCTAAGTCGGCCAGAGGAGGTACGTCTAGGCAACCTGTGTTTGTGGCTACATCCCCAGTTGAACCAGAGAGGAAAATGAGGGGCAGACCAAAGAAAAAGGAGGTGCAGTCATTGATCACGGATCCTTGGGCAGGTGCCCCTTGTTCAGGCGACTTCAAATGTAAGATCAGCTACAAAGTGGCGATCGTCTGATACCTGGGAAAAAATGTGTGTCCCGAGCTAAAAATGATGTGTAGGAACGAAGGGATCGAATGAAGAGCAAGGAAGGATGAGGCTGTCGAGGAACTTGCGGAGCTTCGCGTGATGCAGAGCGTGTTTGAGGTTGTGTCTTAGGGCCGCGATTGTGACTGATCCTGAGGAACGGGGAGGGGGGGTTGAGTAGAGAAGATGCTTAGGTGATCTTGAGTGAAATTAGTGGGATTAGGAACAATCTAGGAGCGAATCGGAAGTTTAGGGGCGTGGCAGGGATTTTGGATAAGTTAGCACGACTTCTTTTGCTGTTTTTAATCTTGAATGGATGTGTCCCGCATGCTGATAAGTTTCGGAACCTTCTTATCGAAGCATTTGACCGTGACCCGAATGGATGGCTGGATGTTGGATCCTGCGTTTATGTGCTTATTATCCCTGTCTGCTGGAAGTTCTATATCGGGAAAACTGAAAGAGAGATACAGGCTCGATGGAAGGAGCATGTGGGGAATTCAGAACAAGAAGGTAGTAGTAATAAACTGTACAAATGGCTTCATAAATTTGGTTGGAAGACGTATGTTGCGCTACCTTTGGTACTCGCCGAGAAAGAGGAACTACTGAGAGTGGAGGGAATGTGCATGAAGCGGTGGACGCCGAGCCTTAACAGCACTGGGAAACGCAGGGCTGGGAAGCGAGGCGGGAGGGAAGGGAAGAGGAGAAGGGGTAAACAGAAGGGTAAACGAGCAGTAGGAATTGTCAAGTTTAATGCATGGGGAAGGGAGTTCTATGACCTGGACTACCTATTAAATGAACGACCGAAAGTCTTTTCTTCGTGCAAGGGTAGCATATGGGTCACGAAATGGTCTGTGATCAAAAGGAAGTTCGGCAATTCGGTGCTACGTTTGAATGGAAAAGTGCGTTTTCTCAAAGACTATAAGAAGAATTTTCAGGAGGGTGGGAAGTTTGGGGTGGTTCGGATCATGCAAGGTAAACCGGGACTGACTAATGATAAAAAACTCCTGATTAGGCTTTTGTCGGTTCCGTGGTCCGTCAAAAATTTGTTAAAATGTAATTTGCAGGACTTGGTCCGCCTGTTTCAGACTGCACGGACTTTTTCAAAAAAGTCGTCAAGGAGTAAAGTCAAGGGAATTTTGGACGGAGTCATCAAGAAGATGTACGGGGTAAGGATTAGGAGAAGAGTTGTAGTGGGAATAACCTTTGATAATAACGTTTCCAAGAGAAAAGTACGGGATCTCGTGAAGGATAGAATTAGAAAACAGCACTTGGAATGTGTAAGCAGGATCATTTGCAGACGCCTGAGGACGGTATGAAAACGGAATCGTACCGTCGGACAGGCGCTGCAGAACCACAGATCCGCTGCACGGGATGTGGTAGGTGTTTGCCCTTGCCCAGACTCAGACCTTCCTAAGTTGGAAGGACATGTGACCTGCAAACTCAGTTCCGTTGCTGGAGTTCCGATCACTCTAATTAACACCAAGAATTTATTTAAAAGGGTAGGGCTGGGATTAGTTAAGGGAGTTACTAGGGAGATAAATGAATGCTTTCTGTTGTATGGGCTGACTCGATGGGTTACGCCCAAGGAAGTTGAGGGCGTGTTGAGTGACCCACGGAAAGGGTGGGAGGATCATTCGGTCAACGACTGTGTGGAGCTTTGGAAGAAGATACTGGTTAACTATGTGCGTGTACCTCTGGATAAGAACCCTGCTGAAACAATGATTATGTGTCCAAAGAGATATGCGGAAGGGATGAGAGATCTCTTTTGGGGAAAAGAGAGTTTCGAAGCAGTGATGGAGGAAGAACGTGAAACCTTGGAACTGTGTAAGAATGAGTATGACAAGCAAGGGTTTGGGAATTTGGGGAAATGGGAAGGGAAAGGGACGCGGGGTAATGCCTATGTCGTGCCAAAAAATAAGGATCTTAAGAAATTCCGGCCGATCACACCGTCGTTCTCTGAACCATCGAAGCAGGCAAGTGTTAGGGTTGCTAGAGCATTGAATGCGATGTTGCTGCTCCTTGCACCATCAAGCCACTTTAATCTGAGATCAGTGGGGGATCTGAAAGGGAGGGTGGATAAAATATCGAAGTGGGCACAAGTCAGGGGGAGGAAGGGATGCATGAGGGATTTGGCGTTCGACATAAAGGAGATGTTCAATGAACTCCCTCATGCCTCTATTCTTCAGTCGGTCGTCTGGTTGGAAAGGGCTATGAAGAGGAAGAGAAGGGAAGGGTTTTTTGTGAAAAGGAGAGGGAAAGGGTGTTCCTTGGCAAATCAAAGAGAAGAGAACTGGCTGTTTGTGAGTACAGAACAGGTTGTTCGGTTCGTCGAATATGAACTGCAGCACACGTTCCTGATAGCTGCAGGTCGGGTGCTAAGACAAGTCAGGGGGGTGCCTATGGGCAAATCTACTAGCCCTCCGTTGGCCAGCTTACTGTGTATTTTTAATGAGGTTCGTTTTCTTGAGTAATTGGGAAATGACACAAACCTGGTCCAAGGAATTCGGCTGGTCGACGATCTATCAGTTTTCATATGGGAAGGAGATACCAAGAAAGGGGCCCTAAGGGCAGACGCGATAGTAGGGAAGCTGGCGAAGATTTATGATAGTAATTTGGAACTTATTACGACAGATAGAGGGGAAGGAACCTGGGTTTTCCAGGGATGTGACCTAAAGGTGTGCAGGAACTTATTCGGCTGGTCGTATTCAGATCAGGTACAAAGGGAAAAACGAGGAAAAAATTTGGTCGGAGGACTTCTCGTACCGGTCTATGCAAGGGTTTGGGTCCTTTTCGGATCTGAAACAGAAGAAAGCGGTTGTGAGTAGTGCGCTTGCTAGGATTCGAGCCTGCACCTCGACTGTGCAATTAGTGGAACTTCCCCTGCTAACGCTTCAGCGAGAACTTAGTCTACTCGAGAACCCGAGCCCCTTTTTCACTGAAGTACTAAATAAGTTCGTGGACAGGAAGGCTCCCGAATGGGAAATGTACCGAGACAAAGGGTGGGGATAGAGTAGCTGGACAGAATAATTAGGAATAGACTAGAATGAGGGTGACGGCAATCGTATATAATGATTGACCCTCACCGATTTACCAAGGAGGTGCCTTAACCCCTGACGAAACCGCTCTGGCGCCGGCAGAAACGCATTGGGGAATGCCAGAGCGTCGGCAACATCAAGGGCGTGTGTGGGGTGGTGAGATTAGATCTATCTAACGGATATGGTGAAGGTTGACGATGTTGTTCTTAATTCTTCCATTCTATCGCGATTTGGCCCTCTTGGGCTTTTGGCCAAAGATTGCTCTGTATCACGTGTGTGAAGTTCAAGTGTGTAATGTCGTGTAATTTTCTTGGCTGCGGCGAGTTCATCTCGCTCACCTTTCCTCTTTCCTCGTGTTCGGCCCCCCGAACGCGACCCCGAACGCCCGAACGTTCGGGGGCCAGCCCGGGGGCTCCCGAACGTTCGGTCAGGTAACCCTGTATATATATATATATATATATATTGCCCTTCTACTCTCCTCTTGAGGACCCCAAATCTGGGATAGTTTCATTTTCTTAAGAGTTGGCTATGAAGGGGGGGAAAAGGGGGTATAAATTGTTTTTAAAGGGGCTAAGAGGGCTTAAGGGGGATCCTTTGGTGTGATTTTATTATTTTATTTTTTATCTCCTATTAGGTGAGGAATTTTGATATGATCGTCAGTCAAAAGTTGTTTGTATTTCAATTTTATACAATATATATTGTTTTGAAATTTTTTTTTTTTTTTTTTTTTTTCGCGTTGAGGCAGCCTGGAACCCTGACCGGGGTCATGCCTGATTGGGCACCCGGGCCGGTATCGGGGCACAAGTTAGGTGCGTGGGCTCCTAGAAAAACAACCTATTGTTTCACATAATTTTTTGATTTTTTCTTCTTAATTTTGGGGCCTTACTGAAGTGTCCACAAGTTTACTGAATATAACGCCCAGGAGTTGTAAACGAATACAACGCCGTACCGGTGTTATATTCCTACACAACCCCCGAGCGTTATTTTCAGGTGAAGACGGTGGTCCGTGCACGCCCCGCACGTCCGATTAAAAAGGATGACCCTTGGAACCTGACTTCTAGCCTAGCATTATAGGCATTCCAACTAGGCTACCAGAGTGGCACGGGTCCACTTGCCCGGCCGGGCCAAAAATAAATAAAAAATGAAAAAATAAAAATTATTTTTTAACTTAAATTTATATTTTAAATTTGGTAAAAAAAATTGATATAGCCTTGAGGCAAAAGTTCTTCAGTTTATTTTTCTGCATAACATAGTTTTTTTTTCGAAGTTTGTAAAGTTCAACTGGTGGAATGCCTTCAAAACCGTTTTACTTTTTTTTTCGGTTGGGACCTTCCTTAGTCATTGCACAGTCGGCCCACCTGGGAAAATAAGGAGACCCGGGCGACCCGGCTGGTAGCCTAACATCACAATGAAAAAAAAAAAACACGATCCAAAATGCGTTTAGATAAATCGTCAAACTCTTCTTAGCTTTCAATTAACATGAAGTGTGCTAAAAAAAAAAAAAAAACTTACGAACTGTAAAAATGAAAAAAAAAAAAACGTTTTTGCGACTTTTCAAAGTCACACCAACTCTCACATTCCTTCCACAAAATTTGTCAAACAATCACACACTTATACAAATGTTTCATACCTAAAAGAAAACTTAAAAAAAAAATGACCTCCTCTGACCTCACTCCAACCATTCACTTTATAATTACTGTCCTCAGCGTAAGCTGATTACAACAACAATTTTATCTTGCTAATTTTTTTTTATCTAACCATTTCGTTGGCTTTTAACAACAACGAAATATGGTTTATTTTTCAACATTCACTTATGGTTATCACATTGTCCTTTATTGCTGATATGTGTATATCTACACGACGATGCTATGTAGCCTGTGCAAATACTTAACATGTTTTCAGGACAACATGACTGCTACAAAAATATTGCTTAAAAAAAAAAAAAAAAAAAAAAAAAAAAAAACTCGGTGATAAACATACAAAAACGATTCATAGTTGAGAATGCGAAGATGATTTTTGATATAGGAAAATACA